TCCGGTTAAAGTCCTTGACTGAAGATCAGTTTAAAGCCCTGATCCTTATTTGCAGCCTACAGCACCAAAAGTTCAGTGACTTACGAACAAGGCTACTAAGTCGTTTGGATCAAGAACCGAAACTCACCCTGAGTGATATAGCTAATGAATATCAACGTCTCATTAATCTTCAACGAGACACTTCTATGGTCCAGAGTGGTGGTTCTAGCCGATTTGAAGTACGAGCGGTGCAACAGACACCTCACAAAAACAAACACGTCCCCGCTTCATCCAGTCCATCTCACTCCAGCTCTAGACGACAGACTAAAGCAACTCCTCCTGCTCCTTGCTGGCAATGTGGTGCATGGCACTACGTTCGAAACTGCCCATTTAATCAACATCGATGCAAGAAGTGTAAGGTTATTGGCCATAAGGATGGGTTTTGTCTGACGAAGAAGACTCCAAGTCAATCAAGAAATACCAAAAAGACCTGTCCTAGATCCCGCACCAGTTCATTGAGCTTAGTATCTTCGTGTCAAAGCTCATCACCGTGTCAGAGAAAATTTATTACTGTTAACATTAATGGGCATTCATTTAGATTGCAAATAGACACTGCATCTGATGTAACAATTCTCTCACGAAAATATTGGATCAGAATGGGAAGACCACGCATGGTTCCAACAACACAAAAACCTCGAACTGCATGCGGTAATTACCTACGTTTGTTGGGACAACTAGATTGTAAAGTGTCTTTTCACGATTCAACGTTTACCGGTGTATGTTACATCACACCAGCTGATCTTAATCTACTTGGGTTAGACTGGTTTGACCAGCTACATTTAGCTGACGTTCCTTTAAGCACCGTATGCCATCTGGTGAAAAAACCTCATGAACCTGAAGCATATTCGAAAGAACTAATGACGGAGTTTTCAACCATTTTCCAACCTGGATTGGGTCGCTGCTCTGTCATGAAAGCAACACTTCGATTGAAAACTGGGGCTAAGCCTGTTTTTCGCCCAAAGCGACCTGTCCCTTATGCAACATTACAAACAGTAGATGAAGAATTGAACCGCCTTCAACAACAAGGAGTTATCACTCCCGTTTCCTACTCTGCATGGGCAGCACCTATCGTGGTTATTAAGAAGGCCAACGGCACGATACGTATATGTGCTGACTTTTCAACAGGTCTCAATGCAGCTCTGGAACAACATCATTATCCCTTGCCTGTTCCCGCAGACCTATTTACCATGCTGAATGGGGGAAGATTTTTCGCTAAGCTGGATCTAGCTGATGCTTATTTGCAAGTGGAAGTAGACGAAGCATCAAGAGAGCTGTTAACTATCAATACTCATCGTGGTTTGTTCCAGTATAACCGTCTACCTTTCGGAGTCAAAACTGCACCATCTATTTTCCAACAATTAATGGATACCATCCTATCAGGTATCTCGGGAGTCGCGGCTTATTTGGATGACATTTTAATTGTAGCAACGACATTAGAACAACTACGAGAACGCACGACATTGGTACTGCAACGCATCAGTGACAACGGGTTCCGGTTACGCCCAGAGAAATGCCAGTTTCATTTGCAGTCGGTAAAGTACTTGGGGTTCATTTTCGATGCCGACGGCCGCAGGCCGGATCCTGAGAATATCCGAGCTATCAAACTGATGCCAACTCCCACTAATGTCTCGGCACTACGTTCCTTCCTGGGACTTGTCAGCTATTACTCAGCGTTCGTTCCATCGATGCATGATATTCGCGCTCCACTCAATAGCTTACTGCAGAAGAACAGCTCTTGGAACTGGACTAAACAATGTGACGCTGCCTTTTGTAAACTGAAGTCCATTATTAGTTCGGAATTGCTGTTGACACACTACGATCCAGCCTTGCCGATCATCGTAGCTGCAGACGCTTCAGCGCATGGCTTAGGCGCTGTTATCTCCCATCAGTTTCCGGATGCGTCGGAAAAAGCCATTATGCATGCAGCCCGTACACTAACCCCAGCAGAAAGGAAGTACAGTCAAATAGAAAAAGAGGCTCTGGCTCTTGTGTTTGCAGTACACCGTTTCCACAAATTCTTGTACGGTCGAAGATTTACTCTTCTCACTGATCACAAGCCTCTTCTCACAATTTTCGGTTCGAAATCTGGTGTTCCAGCCCATTCTGCAAACCGTCTCCAACGATGGGCTTTGATACTTCTGGGTTATGATTTTGACATTCAGTATCGGCGCACTCAACAGTTTGGTCAGGCTGACGCCTTGTCGCGACTTATCAGCGAACACCATACGGCCGGCGAAGATACAGTTATCGCCTCCCTGATGACAGAGGACTACGCGCAGTGCTACCTGACAACTGCTATTCGTGCTTTGCCAGTCTCAGCAGCTGAAATACAATCTGCATCCAAGAACGACTCCATCATAAAGAGAGCGATGAAATACGTCACAAATGGCTGGCCGCCGACTGGACTCGATGGTGACTTGAAACAGCTTTACCATCGTCGGGACTCATTATGCGTCGTAAACGAATGCTTGATGTTTGGAGATAGAGTAGTGGTACCAGAATCCCTAAGATCAAAGGTGCTAAAGCAATTCCACACTGGTCATCCTGGTATAAAACGAATGAAATCCATCGCCAGAAGCTATGCTTATTGGCCCCTTATGGACCAACATATCGTGGATTTAGTAAGCAAGTGCACACAATGTCAGCAAGCAGCTAAGTGTAACGCGAAAATACTACCAGTCCCATGGCCACAGCCTGAGTATCCCTGGTCCAGGATACATGTCGATTTCGCAGGCCCAATTAACGGAATCACCTATCTAGTTGTTGTCGACGCCTTTTCGAAATGGCCTGAAATCAACCCTATCATACCGCCAACGACAACTAAAACAATACAGATCCTCACAGAAATTTTCTCTCGAAATGGTATATAAGATGCTATTGTGTCTGACAACGGGTCACAGTTCACCTCCAGCCAATTTCAGTCATTCTGTCAACGACTAGCCATAAAGCACTTACGCTCGCCACCATACCACCCGCAGTCGAATGGGCAAGCAGAAAGGTTTGTGGATACGTTTAAGAGAGCCTTGGCTAAAACAAAGGGGGAGGGGACGCCAGCAGACGCGTTGCAAAATTTCTTATACGTGTATCGAACAACACCAAATGAAACGTTGCCGGAGCGAAAGTCCCCAGCCGAGATCCTAATGGGAAGAAGACTCAAGACAATCCACAGCCTGATGCATCCAAGGAATGCACCGACACCAGTACGGACAAAGTTTGAAAAGCAATCCACGTACGAAGTGGGATGTCCGGTGTTTGCCCGTGATTACAGACCGACCCATAGTCCATGGACAGAAGCGCGAGTGGTCAAAAGAGTTGGCCGAGTCATGTACGAAGTTGAGGTAGGTAGTGACAGGTGGCAACGCCATCGGAATCAGTTACGCAAACGGTTAGCCCCAGACCGCCCATCAACAGAATCAAATATTCCTCTTGACATTCTGCTAGACACATTCAACTTACCGGCAACCCCACCACAAGAAAAACCTCAACAACAAACTGAAACACGTCCAAGACGGTGGCCTATCCGAGAACGGCGAGCAACAATCAGGATGCAGGTTGACCCCAGGAAAGCCCGCTATTAAAAAGGGGAGGAGTGTTGGGGACGATAGATCCCCAAACTCATATTTTAAAATTTATCTTATCGATCATCTTATTGATTAAATGTTAGATATTTTTATTGGAGTCAATTGATGAACTATCGATTACATGCGCAAATAGGTCAATTAATGAACTCATTGATTAATGTTTAAAAATTTTCTATCGATTGTAAATAATTGTATAAATACGCTTGACTTGTATGCTTGATCTGATCTGCCTGCCTGACTTGTTATCTGCTGTTGTCTGTAGAATACACTTTCTACACCTTACCCAGACTTCTTGATCGAGTTAGCAGAGTTGGGGACAACGGACCAGAATAGTGTATCGAGTCGCTGAATCATTGATCCTTCGTTCGTTCGAGTAAGACGCATCAGTAATCGTATTCAAGCAATAACGAAACATAACAGTAACTAACATGCTCTTGTAAATAAAGATACACTTAAAAACTTGTACAGTATTTCACACATATATGTACTACTCATTATTATATTTCTGTCATCATGAAAACTGTGAATGATTGATTTTCTCTAAGGAAATCACTTACGGTGTTACGTTCCATTTCTCGAGTACTTTCAGCGAATAACAGTCAGTTGATCTGGAGATCATTACGATGATTCTCAATACTAGACAAGCACGGGAAACAACAAGGAATAACCAGAGACAATTTGTGTTAGGGAGGATGTGATAGGGGGTTGAGAGCATAGTGAAAATAAAGCATGATTTAATCAATCGTAATAACCTTGACAATAATGTGAGATAAAAATTTTATTGGTCATAAATAATAATCATAAGTGACTTGATCAAATTAAGTTTATATTCAACATTTGCCTTCCTGAATTCAAAAGGGCAGTTTACAAAATATAATTTAGGATGGTAGATATAACTGCAGAACATTTCAAATTGTTTGCAATTGTAAAATATATACCATCTACAAGAGTTGGAACCATTTAGTCATTCAACAGAACACTAGATAGGCCGTTGGAGGGAATTACAACAGGAAGTCTTGAGCTCTATACAAGAGCTGATGTTACTCCGGGGGGAGTGTTCGAATCTATCTCAACACTGTGTTACAATCAGAGATATTACTATGTCATATATATGGTTGTCGGTGTCCAACTGACGAGAACACCTAAATGTATAGCTTCTTTCTGATTGTCTTCAACCATTTAAAATCAAAGCATAGTATACGCGATGACTAGTGATGAAACTAGCTTAATACTAGCGAGTAAATATACTTGATATCGGTAAATGTCAAGTGATCAGTCAGAATCACATATCATATTCGAAGTTATAAAGAACGATAGTTCCTGAATCTATTCATAAAAAGCCAACAACCAATGTATTAAAGACCTCGGAATTGAAACATTTCAAATGTTATATTGACACGGAAAAAACAACAGAATACAACAGGTGAAACTCACTTCCAACAACATATACATCAATCCAAGGTAACCAGTTATTAAACAAGCAATAGCAAAATCAAATATGGACGACTTTAGCCTTCAAGAGGAAAGAAAACAGAAGAAAAAACTTCCTTTAGAAAATATCTTCATGAATTAGATAGGTTAATGGTTGAGTTTTCATTGTCATTTTAGACAAAAAAATGAATGAATTACCGTTTCATTCCCGCATTTATTGAATGAGATTCGAAATGGGAAAGAGAACATAAATAATCACTTGTTTTTTTATTAGAAATCTTGTATTAAATTAGCTAGAAATCGACAGAGTTATATATATACAAGGCAGTAGAGCAACGTCAGGAGATGCACTCCCATGGTACTCGGTCACCAGTAATTGGTTCATACGCCATTCGTTTCCTCAGGATCGTGGAGCACATGTGCACTATTGGCTTGGAATCAGGGTTTTCCAACTCCTCTAGGTGGATCCTCCGTATCCACCAACCCGGTTAAAATGCCGGAGTTTCACTTTTCGTCCCCTCAATTTCGTAAACAATACCTCCGGTGTGAGAAAGCGATGAATAGGACTGACTGTCCCCAACCTCAGCCGTACCAGATGTATTTGGGAGTAAACTTTTATACGTGATTACCTGATACTCTACGGTTTTTAGACGCAAAAATACCAACCTAAAATGAAACAGCTATTCAATATAATAAATCTAATACTTTGAACAGTTCAGACGATGGATTTCTTTTAGTCTTTGAAAATTTTCAACTCCTTCAAAAGGAAATAGACGCACTACTTTGAACGTTGAATTACATATAAAAATAGGTGTTTTCAATAGTTGATATCATGGGTTAATTGAAGCCAGACCACCATGAAAAATCTGGAAGTACTGAACGGTCGTTTCGTCCTACTGTGGGACTCCTTAGCAATGCACATCCACGACTGCCTCCAAGATGTATATTCTGGAGTTCTAGCAAGAAGCAGTGACCAGTGGAGTTAATCAGGTCAGTTGTGAGATAGTAATTCACTGATGACAATGGTGGATTAGTTGAAGTTAGACATTAACACGATTGGATACCGGCCATTTCAGTGGTCTAGAGGTTAAGCGGTCGCGCACGCGAGACTGATAGTTCCTAGGCTGGAATCCCACCTGGCGAAGTCATGAATGCGTATCGCTGAGGGGTTCCATACTAGGACGAAACGGCCGTCTAATACTTCCAGGTTTTCCATGATGGTCTAGCTTCAATTGGCTCATGATCCCAACTATTGAAGTTACTACCATCTCCACAATACCCGTCCAGATAGAGGTGTATTTAAAAAATCAAGGTTCTAGAAGATTCGGGGAAAATATACCATTCCATTGGATTTAGAAAAAGTATAATAAGTTTGTTTTCGATAAATCTTGCTAAGTGAAGGCTGTATTCGGTCCATAAGCTATTCTTGTAACTCCCAAGCTAGAACTACACAGCGACCTGAACACGAGAGAAAAGGTGAAAAGTATGCGAGAAGTACTTTACTCCAAAGGTTCTTCATAGTAGAGAAGAAACAGGGTTTTCATAGTATTTTAGATGTCCTTGGATTTCCCGAAGATTCTGGGATGCTACTCAACATAGTAGCAGTATGGTAATCAGCCAATCAGAAACTCTACATGTGACTTTTCATTTTCTTGATGTTCCTGGCTAAAGTTCAAGTGGACACTGTTTTGATGAAATGTTTCTTAGTGTTTCCTGAGCCTTTCTTATCTTTTGTGAGAAGTTTTCTGGGTTATCTCAACAGTTTTGAAAGTATCTAAAGTGTACTGATTCATTTCTTATGTAATTTTTAGTATTCCACTTGGTTTTTATTAAATTTTCCATTCAGTCAGTCAGTGGTCTTGAGTGCTGTTAGAGGTATGAGGGCGGTTATCACTTCGCGGCTGCCCTCACCGTGGAAGGGTTTTTCTGGAGTTACCTGATAAGGAAATTGGATTAGAGGTGGTCTTACTGACCTGAGAGCGTGACCGCAGTGCCCAAGGGACAACTGCTTGAGGTCGGTCACACACGACCATTTTATGGGTAATTTTTGTGTTAGCTTCGTACCTGTTGGGACCTTATCGCTGGAGACGGATATCTGTGGGATGAGGCGAGGTGTGCATTTTTAGGGTTGACTTTTTCTAACCCCACCCCTCCTTGTGGAAAGGCAGCATCGCTGTCATGCTGGTTGTCTGAAGGAAACATCTTACTGCTGTCACACCTGTGTACATTCAGCAGTAGGGTTTGTTGCTTTTAGTCTTACCGCTCTTCAACCGACCTGTCTGACATGGTAAGACGGTTGTTCCAGCCAGCATAGCTCGGTTGCTTTATCACGATAGGCAAACCCGACCGCCACCACGTCAAGGTCGGGTTAAATTTTCCAAGAAATCATCAACAACTTCTAATACTATAATCTTGATATTAATGAAGATGAATTACACCTTTGTCATTTGTAGAACAAAAGCACACAACTATAAACAACAAAACCTACCCGACATTTACAACTTACCTATGAACAGACATAATACATGGAATTATATCAGTATATAAAATAACATCTATTTCTGTAGATGCTGCTAATGATGTAATAATCATTGATGGTATTGAATTGAATTCTGTTTCACTAGAATCTAAATGAGTATTACTTTTTATACGATTATTTTTATGATTAGAAGATGATGTTTTATCATTGGATTTAATAGTTTCATCATTCAATGAATATTGAATTGAATGAACATCATCAATCATTTGTGATAAATAATATTCTAAATCTTTAATAATACTTGTTCTATTGATGAAAGAATCTTTACGATCTGTTGAAGTGATATATTCCACAAATTTATAATGTGTAATCCATTTGGAAGTTAAATATTGTGCACTTCGAGGAGTTTTAGTAATTAAATCTAATAATGTACTTGTTGTGATTTCATTAGACCACTATACATATACATGTAAAGGAAATAGATTAGATAAAACGCTATTAATTTCAAAGTAAGTAAGTAAGTATTGAATTATAAAAGTGTAGAAGAACTAGATGGTTGTTTCATCCTATTGTGAGACCCCTCAGTGGTAGTGTGCGTTCACGATCCTACTTCATAAGATTCGAATCCAGGACGTATCAGTCTTGCGCGCGCGAACAAGCGCTTAACCATTAGACCATTGAGCTGGTCGGTAACTAACGGTGTGACTGACTGGGTTTGAATCTCGTGAGGCGAGATCGTGGATGCACACTATCACTGAGGAGTTTCACAATAGGTCTGGCTTCAATTGACTTTTGAATTCAACTATTAAAATTACTATAATTTAGTACAAGTAAAACATTGGCTTTTACAGTTACAGTTTCATGATACTACCTTCTTGTTTAAACTGAAGTAAAGATGAGATGAGCGTCAGAACCTGAGACTTCATTCATTTAAATAATAATGATTCAGGGGGAAAAACCCACTATATTCACAGTAAGATGTTGAACTGGTTTACACATATTACTATCCTTGGTTAATTTTTTGTAGTTATGTTGATGAATGTATACTATCTAATTGGGTTAAATGGGATTATCGTAACCAATGGATGGAGACGTTAGGTGATATACCTCAGGATCGTTTGCAATAACGTAAATGCATTCACTCTGTCATTTCAAGTTTCAAAATTATCTTGTACTTTTCATGGTATGAATTAATTTTCTTTCTCATTTAATAATGTCCATATCTAATGCTTTTCAATGTTCCTGATACTGTTACTGCTTCGATGACTCTGGCATTTGTATTGATAATATAATATTGATATACTGATAAAGTGAGTTAACTTGAAATGATTCACATATGTGCCAGATCCTACGTCATTCATGACTAACGCTGATCGAATCCCACAATATCCAGCTGTCTGAAAGGAAGTAGGTGTAATGAAGTTCAAATCTGTGACCTGATAGTTGAAAGTTGAGCTTAAGAAAATCACTACTCTTGCCAAATAATACACTCAAACCATAAGAAATAAAACTTGGGAATAAATATTTTATACCTGTAGATGTCATTAACTGTATGAGTTTCATCTATACATTTTGGACAAAATTTTGTCACTTTCTATTAGGGGATGGGTGCCAAAATAATACTTACCATTTAAAAGTTGATTGTACTCCTTACATTAGACTAACTAGCATTACAATCCAGGATGTATTTCGTCACAATCAATAATTCACTTACTAAATAAATGTTTGTATAGTAAGACACGTGCAAAACTTTAGCTATGAGAGTTAATGATACCATCCGACTGTACAAAGTTGTGACTTAGCCATTAAATCATCACCACAGTAATGTTTAAAGCAATGGGTAGTGAATACAAGTTTTGGCATGAATATTATCGTTGGGATACAGATGTAAATCCGGTTAATAAACCTAAAATTTTATTTATTTAAACACATAAACATTGGTACAAAAGGGTACCGAATACATATGCGCCACACATATCTCATTTGATTTGTGTGACGGTTGTGATACTACCCGAGTGCCCAAAACAAAGCAGGTGGTTTTCTTAGGAGGTCACACCCAGAGCATTTGACCTGAAGGTCTAATCCACAAGGCAGTAGAGTAACATCGGGAGATGAAGTTCAACGGTAGATGGTGACCAATAATTGGTCCATACGCCATTTGTTCCTTCAGGATCATGGAGCCCATGAACTTTATTGGTTTGAAATCAGGGTTTTCCAACTCCCCTAGGTATATCCTCCATCCCCACCGACCCGGTTTAAGCGCCGGACATTCGCTTTTAATCCTTCCAAGTTCGTAAACAACACCCCCACCACGAGAAGGCAGTGAGTAGGACTTCCCTGTCAGTGGCCATATGAGAGCATTTCGATAGAGAGAGCT